GCTTGTCATAAACATCCCCGTTGTGCGTGTGTCTGTGTGTGTGTATGTGTGTGTACATAAGTTTTAAACTCCTTTGGGTAAATAGAAAGGATGTGATTGCTAGATCATAAGGTGAAAATATGTTTAGTTTTGTAAGAAACAGCCAAACTGGCTTTCAAAATGGTTGTACCATTTTGCATTTCCACTACCAACAAATGACAGTTCTTATTACTCTATATCCTTCCTAGGATTTGATGATGTCAGTGTTCTTGATTCTGGCCATTCCAATAGGTGTGTAATGTCATCTCATTGCTGTTTTAATTTCCATTTCTCTGATGGGAGATGATGTGGAGCATCATTTTATATGTTGTTGTTTTTTTGTTTGTTTGTTTGTTTGTTTTGCCATCCATATATCTAGAATAGAGGGCCAAGAAAGAGATCCCATATAAATATGTATTTTGTCAACTAGTCTTTGACAAAAAATCAAAGGGAATCCAATAGAGAAAAGGTAGTCTTTTCAACCAATGTTGCTCACACTCAAAAAAGTAAATCTAGACTCTGTTCACAAAAAATTAACTCACAGCAGATTACAGACCTAAAGGTAAAATTCACATTGATAAACCTACTAGAAGATAGCATAGGAGAAACTCTAGGTGACCTAGAGTTGGGGGATGACTTTTATATATAACGCCGAAGGCATGATCGATGAAAGAGAGTATTGATGAGCTGGATTTAATTAAAATTAATAATATATGCTCTCTGAAAGATACTTTCAAGAGAATAAAAAAAGAAACCACATACTGGAAAAATATATTTTCAAAAGATATATCTCATGAAGGAATCTTATGCAAAATATGCAAGGCACTCTTAAAACTCAACAATAATAAAACAAAGAATGCAATTTAAAAATAGGCCAAAGACTTTAACAGATACTTCAACCATTGTGTTGTTACCTCAAACATAATTTAAATTAGTTTCCTTAGATACAGATTCCTCTCTACTCAGTGGCATTAAAAGTACGTGTATCTTCAGACACTGGGAAGTTCTTACAGGGAGTTATGTGCTATCATTAGGATTAGGAGTGATAGAGCCACAGAGAGCATATTCCTCTTCTACAGTCCAATTCCATTTATTAACAACCATTTTTAACGCAAATAGCTGTCTTTGCTTGCCCAACACAGAAAGATGGTGAGTTGATAGGAAAAAATCAAGGTTTGATGCTCAGTAAAGCCTGCTCTCAGAGGTAAAAGAGTAAGTGTTGTGGTAGAAGTCGTGGGATTGGAGCTGCAAATGGATCTGTCAAGGAACCCTCATGTTTGAGGTGACTTTAGAGTACAGGCTAGTTGGTATGGCCAGCAGATGTTAGATAGACTTATGGTGTCTAAATCCTCAGAAGTGACGTGGCTGAAGGTGTAGAATCTGAACTCCATGCAGGTAGATGATAATCGCTGCAATAGGACTGCAAAGATTGCTCAGGAAGGTATATGAAACATATATGTATCAGGTAAGAAGGTCAGGCCTTGGGCAGGGCACGATGGCTCACGCCTGTAATCCTAGCACTCTGAGAGGCCAAGGCAGGAGGATCGTTTGAACTACCGAGTTCGAGACCAGCCTAAGCAAGAGCAAGACCCCGTCTCTACTAAAAATAGAAATAAATTAGCTGGACAACTAAAAATATATAGAAAAAATTAGCCAGGCATGGTGGTGCATGCCTGTAGTCTCAGCTACTTGGGAGGCTGAGGCAGAAGGATCGCTTGAGCCCAGGAGTTTGAGGTTGCTGTGAGCTAGGCTGACGCCATGGCACTCACTCTAGCCCAGGCAACAGAGTAAGATTCTGTCTAAAAAAAAAAAGAAGGTCAGGCCTTGGCAGCTTCTTATTACATATAAATATAAACAAAACATCTCTTTTTAGGTTTAACGAAAGGACTACTTAATTTTTAATAGTAATAAATGTGTCATTTTAAAATTTTTTAATGAAACCCTTTGATATTTTAGTTCTGCCTTAACTTATATACATCTTTCTTTCCTTTTGTCTGAGCCCAGGTGAAATCTAACCACCCAAGGCTAAATAGGGAATTAAGCAAGACTGCCTTCACCTTCCTTATCAATTACTAGTATTTAGTGCCTAATTTCCATTCAGTGGCGTTCTCATTTTAGTCCTTGTCTGGCTAGAGCAGGGCTGGAGAACCTGCAACCTTAAGTGTGCACACGTGGCTTTCTAGGTCCTCAAGTGCGGCCTTTTGACTGAATCCAAATTTTACAGAACAAATTTTACAGGACAAAATCCTTTTGTCTTTATTAATACATTTTTGTTCATCTTCTGAATTTTTATTTTATTTTTTAAATGAACATATTTAAAATACCAAAGAATAAAATAAGTTTCAACAAAATAATCTTCCAGATTGACCGGCACAATCAGACCATCAGTAAGCCATAAGGGCTAAATTGACAGCTGCTACACTCATAACTTAGTTCTAACTTCCCCCGCCTGACTGGTGCCACGAACACACGAGGCTGGTTGGCAAGAGTTTAGACGGGTTGAGTACGCCAGTCTGTTACTAGCTTTTGACAGCAGTACATTGTGTTCCTGTTTGAAGTGGAATTTGTGAATAGTTGCACAGCTCGACAGTATTTTTTAATTCGGTCTGCTTAACAGCCAATCACGTCAAAGAAAACCAAGAGAACACTGAAGGAAGAAAACTGATTTTTGAAGGGGATTGGGAATTGCAATATTATCTTGTTTCTGCTAGAGATAAGATGAATTGCTTGTTTTGTGATACTGCAGTATCAACATTAAAAAATTCAATGTTATTTGGCATTATAAGATGCATAAGGACTACAAATATTTTAAATTAGGGAGAGAGGTGTGAAAGTTTATATTGCAGAAATTAAAAGACAAAAAAACAAAAGAAAGACAATTCTTTCAAGCAGTAATAAGACCTGAAAATAATGCCGCCAAGCCACTTATAGATATGGTCAACAACTTTCAAGATTAATGTCATGAAATTGGACTGAATTTGGTAAGTTTAGTGAGTGTATGTGCAGACATGCACCTTCCATGACAGGAAAACATGAAGGGTTTATTGTACAGATAAACAAATGTATTAACACATCCAGATGCTCTCATTTCTTTTCATTTTATCTTGCACCAGTAAAATATCTGTGCTAAAGATAAAATTTTAAGTGACACTTTGCAATAATCTATAAGTATTGTTAACTATATCCATGCAAATGCAACACAGCATTTTCAGTTTCATAACAAACATGCCAACATTGAAAGATGAGCTATTCAGTGAGGATTTGCCATATCATTCTGAAGTGCATTGGCTACCACAGGGACAGGTGTTAGCCAAAATTTTATCTCTGTGAGAACAAATAGTTAAATTCTATGAAGAACAGAATCAGCAATGTGAATTACTGAAAGTTTTCTAGAGGAATGCAGCATTTCTGTGTGATATCATGTTAAATCAAAATGACTTGAATATTTCTTTGCAAGGTAAAACTAAGTCTATATATGATAACATGGCAAAAAAATCCAAGCATTTCAAAAAAAGCTATCTTTTTCAAAACACTTCTTTAAAAGGAAATTTCACATGACTATTTTTCCCAGTTAGCAAAGGTCATTGATGTGCAGCAGGATAATATATTTGAATCATTTGAAGAACATGAAGCTATTATGTACCTATTAACTGGAGAATACAATGAAAAGTAGCATTTCAACCTCGCCTAGTTGATATCACCAAGGCACCTAAAGAACTTCAGATGGAATTGATTGAGCTCTCAGTAGATGACATTTTAAAGTCATTGTTTGATGCTAAGAAAGAGCCAATTGAAATATGGAAAAATGCATTAGAATATCCACGACTTTGGCAACATGCCCCCAAAACTCTTTTTTGCTTCTCAGCCACTTAGTGCTGCAGATCTACATTCTCCAACCTAACCTAAATCAAGATGCTTTTAAGGCCACAAATGGCTGATAGCCATCTAGAAGATCTGCTGAAACTGCGGACCGTGTTGCAACCAAATATTCAAATGCTTTCCAACAAAAAGCCAACACAACAAAGTCATTAAAAGGTTAGTTAACTTTAAAATTAACAATCAGTTTTAATTTTTTGAAATCATTAAGTACATAGTAGTTATATTTTTTACAAAATGATGTACATTTTTAAATATATCTAATGGAAGTTTCTTGAATGCGGTGTTATTTGATTACAGCTAAATTACTGTGGCCTCCCAACATGAAAAGGTTCCCACCCCTGGATTAGAGTGACTCTAGTGAAAAATAACAAGTTTGGGAAGGAGCTGATACTTTTAGTCAGATAGATTTTCAATACATCTTAAATTATATTGCAAAGAAAAAAATAGAGTTATTCTGAGCAAAAAGCCAGCTCTTCCAGAATCCTCCCTAGATTCTTTTATTTAAAGACTTCTCTCATTGGATACCCTTCTGTTTGGGCATATTTCTTTAGTCTTAGGGTAGAAATAAAAGAAAGCTTTCACATGGCACAGTAAGCTGTATAAATGGCCTCCAAAAATATCAGATCCTAATCATTGGAGCCTGTAAATTTCCTTACTTGGAAAAAATTTTTATTTCAGATGTGATGATATTAAGGATTTTGAGATAGTGATTATCCTGGATTATCTGAGTGGCCTGTAAATGCTGTCACAGTTATCCTTATAACAGTAAAGCAGAGAGAGATTTGATACATACACAGAGGAGAAGGTGATGTAAACACGGGTCATAGAGATATCTGAAGGTGCTAGATTTAAAGATTGAAGTGATAAGGCCAGGGGCCAAGGAATACCACAGCCACCAGAGGCTGGAAGAGGTAAGTAAAGATTCTCCCCAGGCCCTCCAGAGAGCAAGTATCCCTAACACCGTGATTTTTGCCTGGTAATACTAACTTTGGACTTCCGGTCTTCAGAAGTGTTAGAGAATAAATTCCTTTGTCTTAAGCCATCATGTTTGTTGTCCTTTGTTATAGCAGCCACAGGAAATTAGCAGACATAAGCCAAAACCCTGCTTTTTATGTGTTTTTCTTTTCCCTTTGCCTACTATGTGCATCTAATTAATTCTGCTCTGTATACAATCTTCCACACATATTTATGTAAATTTTATATTAATTTCAAGCTATCTGTATTTCAAATTCAGTGCTGTCCTCTATTCAATCCACAACATCATCCTGGAGAAAAGAAGGAAGAAAAAATACGAGGATTATGATTTGTCAAGTAGTGGCCATCTACATTAGGAACTAAAACAACAACAAATTAGTGTTATCTGTTTTAGAATTTTTTTTTTTACTTTCTTAATTTTTTTTTGATTATTGAAGTTAAACAAGAGTTAGGTATTTTATAGAAGGAAAAGTATTTGTTTCCAAGTTTTCAGTTATTATTTTATAATGTATGACTTTTCCTAGAGGGACTTGAGTTTTTGTTCATATATTGTGACAGCCAGGGTGTCAGTGATGGCTGGTACTTGTGTGGGAGGGTCACTGATGTTTTAGTCCCCCAAATGCACACTTCCTAGCACCCTTTCATTAAGCGTGCTGTGCCCACGTCAATGAAATATGAGGAGAAGTGACACCTGTCGATTTTTGCCGGAGGCAGTTAGATTTCGAAGGGCTATTCTGCAGGAGCTCTGCTTCCGGGCAGCAGTGACAAAGGAAACTGTGGGCAGCAGAGGGTGCAGGCATAACGTGGTGGAGCCTCAGTCAGCCCGAGTGTGGGGTCTGCTGACATATGTGGACCTGTGATGTGAGAGAGAACTAAATTTTTGTTGTATTAAACCACTTTAATTTTTGTGGTCATTATTGTAACATATCCTAGTCTATTGTGACAAATGCAAGGTATTTCTTTCTCCTTCCTAAGTTTCTGAGACTACTAGTGTTCAAATCAATAGGTGGTAAAGAATTTAAATTGACTTATGATTTCTTAGTAACTTCCCATGAAAGAAATTCAGAATTTAGAAGAAAATACCTCATTAGCCCAATTTCAACTTTAGCGTAATCTGAGATGAGAAATAACTGATTTTTAAGAATGCAAGTATGTATGTAATTTATGTGCAATGGCATATAATGCCTCATAAATACATTTCAATTATAACTGCAAGACATACATGTCATTCCCTTTATTTTTATTTCCACAAGTTTAGACTATCAATCTATTGCCAAAAGAAGTAGCTAAAAATATTTTTATGAAACTATAACATAAAAAATGGTTTTATGTTTTAAGCAACTATTTTGATAAAATTTCACAAATTCTAATTGTATATTCCTCAAATAGAGATAACCTTAAAAATTTGATGAAGTGTTATGGTATAGAAAATTATTTTCATTATCATTTCATAAAATAATAGCATATTTTGAATAGAGCTATCTATACATGACCATAGTTACTAATATATACATTGATTCACTACTTTATGCCAAGATATTATAGAGACAAAAATAGCTGATGTAACTAAAATATTTCATCAATTCCCTTAGTTAAAACCACAAACTGGCTAAGAAACTATTACTTAACTGAATGAAGAAATTAACTTTTTATGTAAAGAAAGGTATTCACTAACTTGTCATGTCTTCTAAAAAATAGATAATCTGTAATTTCTTGTTCCAGGAATTCCTCATTAGAGATGTTCTTATTGGAGTTCTCCACCAGATGTGAAAGCTCACAGAATTCTCCAGAGAGTTTTATCATAATCAAACTTACAGCCACTTGGAGAATGTGTCATTATTCAAATCTTCAATAGTAGATATACAATGCACACAATTGAAACAGATGATAACAAGCAGAGATCCCTCAGGAACTTGACTACAGGGATCTTGCTGGAATAGAAAAAGTTAATGATCCATAAAAATAGAAAAATAGTCAAATTCGTAGATATAGGAAGACATTAATATAATTATAGCAGAGGTACTTAGAAGACCATAGTACTGTGAAGATAGGTCAACTGTATTGATAAGTAAGTAAAATCATTATTTTGGAACAAATAAAAATTCTTACCTTGTCTTTTTTGGAAAGCACATCTATCTAAAATTTATTTCTATTAAAACTTGATTGGAACCCTGATCTCTGAGGATTTTTGTGACTGATTTGTAGCAATTTTCCATCTGATGTATTATAATGAATATATCTAGCAGTATTTCAAAGTTGACATTTATTTATTTTAAATAATCTTTCATTTATTTAAGGGCAAAAATGAAATATCAAAAGAAATATTGAAAGATAAAATAGCTTATGCAAATGAATACATTGAAGTGAGAACAAGGTATCCCCTTGAGTCCCTTCATCTTGTATTTAAATGTAACAAATCTAAAGTCATTTAGTAAAACACATTTCCAGCTCAACAAAATTCATACATAATTTTCACTTCCATATGAGGCTTCTTATATTCAGTGAGTTTAATTATCTATAACCCTTGAATGACATTTTTTAATCCTTTGTGGTTCACTGAAAAACCCTGTAAAGTATAACTAAGTGGTGTGTTCATTAAAATGTCAGAAATATTTTCAAGTCCAAATAGTAGAGCATATTATTCCTAAGTGCAGTAATAATACAATAACTATGCCAGGAGGGTGTAATTAGTAACTATTTAAATGAACAATTGTCTTAAATTATTCAGGATCTTCATGCATAGCATCTTAATTAAGGAAGAAAATTATTTTTTAGTTCATCCATAGGAAAAAATAAGAATAAACTTAATGAAAAATTCAAGTTTGAGGAGCTTATTTAATGTCTTATACATAATATAGCTGCAATTGTTTTGACAGAGCACTTCAAATGTCATTAACATTGACAGAATATTATAGTTTACATCGAATTTCAAAAAATGTAGCAGTGATTGCATTCTACCTGTCTCTTCACAGTAAAATGTTACGAATACAGAATTGAAAGTCCCAGTAGTCATATTCTGTTTAATATGCATTAACTTTTAATGGAGGTATAACCAAGTCTCTGGGTGACAATCTTGTACCTCTTCATTGCGAGGCTCTGCTCAATTTTGTTTTATCAGGGCTACCGAGATGATTCTCAACACTTACATATGAGTTATTTTTATGTCTAGCTTTCCTCAGTAACCACTGTGGTGGCTTTACATAAGGGTAGATGATATTTGTCAACCCATGGACACTTGAGCTAAAGCTGCCCCTCTTACCTCTGCCTGAAAAAGGGAAAGTGGACTTGTTGCCTGTTTGATCACCCTGTCACAGTGGCTGGATTGTCTTTAGCAGACTCTCTTTTTCCCTAAGTATATACATTTCTATCAATCTTTATAGATAGTTGGACTTGAAATGATTACAGTATATGTGGGGGCACCAAAGTGTTCCATAAATGGGCTACACACTACCATGAAAGGAAGACATCTTTAAACTGGAAATTTAGAAAAAAAAATTCAAATTTTTGTTGTTTATAAGTAGCACTTTAAAGACATTACTAAGTTGAAAATATAAGGGTATCAAATAATAAAACATGCAAGCACCAAGAGTAAACTGATGTGGCTATGTTATGATAAGAATTCAAAGCAAAGAAATAAAAGAGACATTTCATGATGACAAAAAGTATTAAAAGATACACTTCTTAATTATATAAGAATTGTATGCATGTATAAAGGTAAGTATATATGTATAAAGGTATGTATACATACCTCAAAATAGAGCTTTAATGTATTAAGCAGTAGTTGAAAGAAGAGAAGTTGTTGAAGAGAAGTCAACAATCATGGTTAAAGACTTTAACAACTCTCTCAGTGCCTCAGAGAGAAAATCAATGGAAAATAAAGAAAATATACAAGATATTTGAAAAACACAATCAACTAACTTGACTTAATTGATATTTATAAAATATTACATCCACCAATCAAAGAATACACATTTTTTCCATTGCATGGGGAATGCTCACTAAAATTGGCTATGTGCCAGGCTATAACATGCTTCTTAACCTATTATTAACAAAAACAAGTCAAAACATACAAAACATACTGAGATGTTTTATATGACAAATATAATTACAAGTTAATAACATTAAGAAATATAGAAGAAAATTAAGTAAAAACACCTCAAAAGAATCCATTAGTCAAAGAAAAGTGAAAATGGAAAGTATAACTATTTTAAAAGAATAATTAAAATATAATATAAAAAACATTTGGGAATTGTAGCTAAAGTTTAACAATTAAAAGATAGGTGTAAAATCAGTAAACTAAGTTTTTACCTTATAAAGCTAGAAAAAGTGGAACAAAATAAATGAATAGTGCCAGAAGGACAGGATATTTTTATGGAGAAAAAAACTCAGTAAGCTTTAACCCCTAACTCAGTTTATATAAAAAAATAACTTTGAGATGGGTATTAGACCTAAGCATATGAGCTAGGACCATAACATTTCTAAAAGAAAACATAGCAGAATAACTTTTTAACCTTAGAGTAGGCAAATATTTCTCAAACAGAATAAAAAAATGCACTACTCATAGAAGAAAAAAGATATATTGGACATCATCAAAATTAAAAATTTCTAATTATCAAGAATTTCCATTAAGAAAATAAATAAGCTACAGGATGGAAAAAACTATTCACAGTTCATATATCTTCAAGCACTAATATCCAAAATACATACAGTCATATAAAACAACAATAAAAGGCAACCAGACAAAACTTTAAAATAAACAAAATATTTAAAAGGATACTTTACAAAAGAAGATAAGTAAATATGCAATACACTCATGAACAGGTACTCATTATCATGAATCAATAAGGAAACATATATTAAAACATAATGAGATCCCATTTCACATTCACTATAATGATTCAAAGTTTTAAAATGACAGTTCCACATGCCAGTGAGGACATGGAGAAACTAGAGTTCTCATGCATTGCCATTGAAAAACTATTGGTAACTCTCCATAAAGTAAAACATAACTTTCCCACAAAACTCAGTAAATCTACTCAGAGGTATTTATCTAAGAAAAATAAAAACATGCCCACCAAGGGGACTTGAAAAAAAAAGTTTAAAGTAGCCATATTAATAGATAGACATTGAACCAGAAAAATTCTTCTAAAACATTAGGAAATGAAAAAGTTAAAAATAAAATGATCTTGTGGCCCAGAAGTAGATTTAAAAAATAGAAAAAAAGGGAAATGATGAAAAATGCTATATCATGTAAACCCTAATCAAAAGAAAATAGCTATTGCCATAGTGAGATCAAGCAAAGTCATTTTTAAGTCAAGAGGTGTTACTAAAGATTAACGTGGACATTTCAGATTCATAAAGGTATCGGTTCTCAAGAAAGATATAACAATATGAAATCTGAACGTGTCTAATCACACAACCTCAAAAATATAAAACACTCTAGTGTCAAGCTCATCTGTGTTAAAGCCCCCAACAGTATGTAAGAAGATGATAATTAATGTTCATTTATTCATTCACTCACATAAAATCAGAAAATAGAGTCCAGGAAAACTAGACCGTGCCTCCTACTCTGCAACTAGCTAACTGTTAAGGCTCCTGTCTCTCAATTTACTCAAGCAAAAATTGAATGATTGAATCCCATACAGCAGTAACATTTTGCGATTGTAAAGAAAGGAAAGTGATGGTAACGTTATAATGTATTTTATAGAGAGAAATTCTGATTCCTAGAAAGCAACTGCCTCACAAGATCTGCCTCACAAACTCTGGAGCTACGTGGTAGCATGTGATAGAATTTGGTGTTAACATTTTTATACACCTACCAGCTTTCTGGTTTGGGAACAAGATGCTGAAATTTGTAGTGCCAAGTCTCACTGGTCGCCTTATGTATTATACTCCTGCTACATCCCAACTTTTCAGATGAAGACACTGAAGCTCAGGTAATTTAAATTATTTGCCTAAATCCTGAGAAATATCAGGGCTTCTAAATTCTCAAGTCCTTAAGTAATTTATCTCAAGGTTTACTTCAAATTTCTGAAAAATTTAATGAATCCATTATGATGTTAAAATGATTCTTAATTTTATTTCACAGAGAAAGAAGATTTTAGATATTAAAAATTCTTTACGGCCGCATGTGGTGGCTCATGCCTGTAATCCTAGCACTCTGGGAGGCTGAGGCGGGCGGATCGTTTCAGTTCAGGAGTTGGAGACCAGCCCGAGCAAGAGCAAGACCCTGTCTCTACTAAAAATAGAAAGAAATTAACTGGACAGCTAAAAATATGTAGAAAAAATTAGCCAGGCATGGTGGCGCATACCTGTAGTCCCAGCTACTCAGGAGGCTGAGGTAGGAGGATCACTTTAAGCCCAGGAATCTGAGGTTGCTGTGAGCAAGGCTGATGCCATGGTACTCTAGCCTGGGGCACCAGAGTGAGACTCTGTCTCAAAAAAAAAAAAAAAGTTATTTATATAATGTGCCTATCCAATTCCATTTCATAGATGTTGACAAAGATTGATTAGCATAGAGTACTTGCTAGTAAATATTTGTTGACTGTATTAATGCGGTATAATTGAGTAACATTACACAGAGTTCAAATTTTACCACCAATTAGCTATGTGATTTCTGACTTCAATTCTTCTAATTATAATTCCTTCAGATTTACTAGCTTCAAATATTAGTTCCATTCGGAGGGCTTTAATTGCACTTTACTATATCAGTCAAGAAATTCATCCTTAATAATTTTGTACATCTGGGTTTATGTGCTGCTCACATTAGCTTGGAACTTGACAAAAGATATTATTTTCCAAAGACAAAGATATTGAAACACTACAAAAGAAGAATATTTTTTAAGCTTACCCGCTGTTCTATTTTCAGCTTGTAAATTCTCATTTGCAAAGCATTTTTCACATTACACTTTGAAACAAACCATTAAATTCATAGAGGATTATTGCATAAATATAATAAACAGAGAAAAATGGGACCATTTAAATTTTTTTTAAAGAATGGACTCTGGATTAATCTTAGAAATTTCTTGGAAGTGAAATTCACTATTTGTCATGTAATATTCACAGACTTTCTATTTGTGATCTTCCAAAGCACCCATAAGGTGTATTTTATAACCTGCATGCATCTACATGTTCATTCATATTTAAAATGCAATTAAATAAAGTTAACATAGTAAATAACATATACTTTAAGAACACTGGACTTTTAAAGACACACATTTTCCAAATAAATATATTAGAATATAATCACCGTATGTTATCTCTACATACCTTCTTAAGTGTTTTGTAACATATTAGTGCAATTAATTTAAAAATTATATTTAAATATGGCACACATTCACACACAAAAATTCAAATCAATATTCATAATATTGAAACATAAGAATAAGTCAAATATAGATGTACTGATTAAATCCTAGTAATATTTATTTGGCAAATGGCAACATAGCTATAGAATAATAGTATAGATCTATATTTATTAACAGGCAATTTTATGATATTATAGAATATATGGATTGAATTTATTTTATACATGAATACATAGTTATATAGAGATATAGATCTCTAATTATAAACTTTATCCACAATCTCACCATTTTTCACCTCCTGCATCAGTCAGGGTTCAGCAGAGAAACAGAACCAGTAGAATAAAGGTGTGTTGTTGGTGTGTGTGTGTGTGTGTGTGTGTGTGTAAAGAGAGGGAAAGAAAGAGAGAGATTTCCAGGAAGTAGCTTGCATGACTGTGGGGTTTTGCTATGTAAATCTAAAATCTGTAGTGCAGGCTGTCTGGAAGGAATGATCACAAAGCACGTGGAATCCATGCACATGGCTGAAACTGTTTTCCAACATGCAGATTTTCTTCTATTTCTTCAAGAAAAACTTCAACCCCACATTTAATGCTGTCCATCTGATTAAGTCAAGCCCATCTATATTATCCAGGA